TTACCTCCGTGTATAAGACGACCCTCAATTTTTAGTCTAAAGATTTTAGACAAAAGTATAGTCTTATACGCAGAAAAAATATGGTATATTTCTAAAGATGAAATTACCAGAACTGACCCACTAGAGAGAGCCAGAAGCCATGCACGGCATTTTTCAGCACTTAGAACCGATCTCCTGTGGATACCACAGTCCTACTGTAAGAAGCATTTTTAGAAGCTGTCTCTCTGAACCAAGGTGTCCGGTCTTTTACATGCATGAGATGCAATTACCAGAACTGACCCACTAGAGAGAGCCAGAAGCCATGCAAGGCATTTTTCAGCACCTGAGGGGGGCACTTAGAACCGATCTCCTGTGAATACCGCTGTCCTACTGTAAGAAGAGTTTTTAGAAGCTGTCTCTCTGAACCAAGGTGTCTGGTCTTTTACATGCATGACTTGTGCCCTCCATCGCAGGTGTTCGGGGTGCTAGAGAAAGCCAAAGAGAAGTACTGTGTAGAAGATTATTCTGTCAGCCAAATTTCCTTGGAGCAAGTCTTCATGAGTTTCACCCGTTTCCAGCACTACACGGAGGATCGAGGGAAATGAGCTTGGGGCCCCCCCTCCCGCTCGGTCCACAAACTGACCTGTTGCCTATATATATATATATAGTATACATAGAGACAATAATTTATATTCTCGGCTGTGTCTTCAACTGTGCATCGAAGGATGGATGTTTCCATTGGCCTCGGGACCGGGGGAGGGCAGCAGCTTCTGCCCCTGAAGCAAGATGGGAATCGAAAAGGAGCATATGCATGGGGTGATGGTTTCGGATGTCAGCTTCTCCATTCGCCTGGGCGAGAGGGCTGAGAAAGGGAAATGAAGGCACATCTTTCAAGACAGACAGGTAGCGCCACTCGCTCTCACTCTACCTTTAAGACACTGAGAGAGGGCAAGAGCTCCATCATCACGCAGGTGATCATCTCCCCAGCCCTGTGTGGCATACTGGAAAGAGGCAGGCCATCCTTCGGCACCGTTTCCACCCGTGCTTCCACTGGATCGCCGGTGACCTCGTGGATCCCTGGGTACCCCTCGTACAAGGTGCTGGCAACGCACACGGACGTTCCGGCTGGTCTGGAGGTGCAGACCAGCTGCCCTGTGAAATAATCCGTCCAACATGGTTCCCGTCCTCCCCTTCCACCCAGTAGCAAACAAGCTGGAAAAGGATGAAGGAAACCCACAGCCGTCCATGTTTCCTCTGCTGGCGTTGAATCGGACCCATGGCACAGATTGGGGTTGGAGGTGCATTTCGATTCTTGGCCAGTGGCCCAGCTGGGGGTTCCTGCTGCCCCCACTCCCCCCCACCACCACCACAAGGAATCCCATAGGCACCGTTGAGTTACCTTCCTTGTAGAAGGCTCCTTCCTCTATCTCCAGACCCATTCCCTTCGTCGTCTGTTAACGAAGAATCTCATTCGCGCCAGGAGGACAAATGCAGTGTTTGCACACATTCGGGTCTGAGAACAGTGGCTGTGGTTTCACAACGTGACGTTGGATAGCGTTGAGCTGAACACTTCGGTCAGCTAGGAAAGTTAGTTGTGTTTAGCTGGGGAATAATTTCGTGCTGATAACCCTAGCTACCTGCAGGGAAAAAAATTGGAAATGGCTCATATAAGACAAGTTCGGGTCTGATTCGCAGTTGTGCCGTGAATGTCTAAGGATAACCACCCTATGGTCTTCCAGGTATTTTGGACTGCATCTTCCATCAGCCCTAGCGAACCCAGTCAATGGTCAGGGGTAATGGGAGATGTTGTCCAAAACATCTGGAGGGTGCAGTATTGTCACTGCTGGGTTAAAATATTGTTTTAGGAGCCCCACCCCCCGACCTGTTGGGCACCCCTGGATTCTTTGATGTCATCCCCTTCAAAACCTGGACACATCCTTCAGCAGTACAGTGGTGCCCCGCATAGCGAGCGCCCCATTTAACGCCGAATCCGCATAGCGATGCGAATTTTGCAATTGCAAAAGCGATCGCACTGCGATGTTTTGAATGGGTAAACATTGCATTGCGATGATCGGTAAGCGTTTTGCTTACCGATTTGTGCATTGCGATGTTTAGAAAACAGCTGATCGGCAGTTCCAAAATGGCTGCCGGGGGAAAAATGGCCACCCGCAGCGTTTTCGCGCCCTGTCCTCGCTTACCGGGCAGTGAAAATGGCAGCTAGATCTAGGATTTCCACATAGCGGTGAGTTTTTCCTCCATAGGAACGCATTAAACGTGTTTTAATGCGTTCCTATGGGGTTTTTTGCCCCGGATAGCTATGTGGGGCACCACTGTACAATGCCTGGTAACTTAGGCACATTATTATTTATTGGAACCAAAGGCCATGGGGGGGGTCTGTTGTCAGGAGCTGGGT